CCTGTGATGGGTTGGTACCCCATCCTTGGTTGTTCCCTGCCTTGCATGTGTGAGTACATGGTGTGTGAGTGTGCCCTGTGATGGGTTGGTACCCCATACTGTGCTGTTCCCTGCCTTGCATGTGTGAGTACATGGTGTGTGAGTGTGCCCTGTGATGGGTTGGCGCCCCATCCTGGGTTGTTCCCTGTCTTGTGCCCATAGTGCCCTATGATGGGTTGGCGCCCCATCCTGGGTTGTTCCCTGCCTTGCACCTGTAGCTTCCCTGTCACCCTGAATAGGACAAGTGGTTATAGAAAATGGTTGAATGGGATAGAGTATTTGTAGATTTGTAGGAAAATGTATTTGTTGTATTTTAATTCTAGCCTTTAAGTTAATAACATGGAAATTGTTAAAGGGGGTGTATTTATTTTTTGATCCACTGTAGTTAAATATGTCCCTGCAGGTTCCACATCAGGGTTTAGAGATGTTACTTGTTCAATTATTCACTCTTTCACTCTTACCAGCTGTCCACTTGCCTAATGGCTGCACAGCTTGTTAGGTGGCTGGTACGTATTAGTGTTCTGTCATCCTCGCATGTAGGGGGCAGCCAAGGTGACAGACTCTGCTCTTGAACACTGGAGGCGCAAGGTCACTGTCATTTTTTTTTTTAATGCTCTGGACATCTGCTTGTACTTTTCCTTGAATTCGTGTCTGTCTCTCCGTGTGTGTGTCTGTCTCTCCATGTGTGTCTGTCTCTCTGTCTGTATATGTTTTCTCAGGACACTAAGCTTCAGAAACCCCGTCTGTCTGGCTATGGCGTGGAGCTGGCCATTAAAAGCACGGAGTACAAGGCGGTGGACGACTCACTGGTGAAAGGTCTCTCTCTCTCTCTCCTTTTCCTCCCTTCCCTTCTTTCTTGAATTCCCAAGCTGCGACTCATGTGTGTTTCTTACATGTGATGGACTACAGATGTGAAGGGGACCGTGAGCAGCGAGGATGATGGCGACGATGAAGTTCAGGGCTTCCTCTTTGGAACACTGAAGTAAGTCTCCCTGTGCCAAGATCAAACTAATAAAAAAATAGCTGACAATATGTGTTCTAGGCTGCTAGCCAATAAGATCTGCAGCCTGAGGTCATGCAGCTTCCTCCAACATGGAGCAGTAAATAAACAAGTCTGAGGTCATAGCCCCATAGTGGTGCTATGACCTCAGACCCCTGGGCTCTGTGCTGTGAATTCCCCCTTTGATGGCCCCTGTGTCATGTGACTTTTGTTGAGGAACTCCATCCTACAGTCCAAAAGACATGTGTTTAGCCAAATTAGTAAATCGCCCACAGTGTGTGTGTGTGTGTGTGTGTGTGTGTGTGTGTGTGT